GAAACTTGGGGCAGTCAATGGTTGTCAGAGCAGCTCTTGAAACCCTTTCAAGAGCAACTCTCAAAAGATGGGAAACCCCAGCCTGCAACTCATGCGTTTTCAAGCGTCCTCGGTCGAACCCTTGAGGGACTTTCGATTTTCGAGAGTTGTCATGTCGTTCTCTTGATGCCATTCGGAAAAAACAAAGTTGTACAACTATCGTTTTTCATCGGTTGTCCAACACCATCGCCCTTTCAAGAGTGCTGTGTGGCGAGGGGCCGGAAACTCTTGAAAACCCAACTCTTGAGAACGTCTGACAGCTCTTGAAAAAATTCCCCGTTTCCCAGACCTGGCTCCTTGATCCAGATGTTGGCCCGCAGGAGGGTCGTTGTGCCCTATATTCAGGAAGGTTAGAGGAGACAGTCTATAAACTGAGTCGTTTTAGACTCGGGAGGCGAGGCCGGGGTAGGGATGCCCTGTTTCAATGGGGGGGATAAAAGGCAATAGGAATAGAAGGTTTAGGTAATGGGGTGGGATTGTCCGTGGTAGGTAAGAGGTTATTGGTTGGGAACGATACCCAGGAAGCTATGGTATTAGTACTAGGAGTAGAGGACCTCTAGTAGATGAGTAGAGGTAGTGGGCCTCGCTGCACTACTCTAGACTCTCGAATTTTCGAGAGTGGGACGTCGCTGTACTTACTCTCGATCGGGAAACTCTCGAAACCCGATCGAGAGCTGTCAGAAGGCATGCTTTATCGCCACTCTCGAAACGTCAAGAGTCGCCCCCTTGCAAAATGCGAATTCTCAAGTGTCCTCGGGAGTTGCCCGCCGACCGGCTCGTTTTCGAGAGTGGACCTCCTGTCTCGTCCTCCGTAGCGCAGTGGTGCAGCTCTTCTGTCGAGTGGGACAACGCGCAGGGTTTGGAGAGTTCATCAAGTGTAGCAGTTTATAGAGTAAGTGCAGCGAAGGCGGGTATTTCGAGAGTATAGCCTCTCTGACAACGCTAGACGAACTCTCGAAATATTTCGAGAGTCTAGAGTAGTCCAGCGAGTCCCAGTCTCAGTGGTTCAGAACGAGTAGCTAACTCAGCATGGAATTGGTTAACTCAGAAGCTAAACCGGTTGATGCTGCTGGGATAACTCCGGGTTGAATTGTGAGGGCCGCGGCCTCGTGACAATGCGTTTTCTTGAAATATAATATGAATGGAAAAAAAAAAAAAAAAATCCCCGTTTCAAGAGTGGTGTGGCGAGGCCCTTAGTTGAGCATGCAGAAGGGCAGGGCCAGGGAGTTTTAGGGGCTATCGATAGTGTAGGCTGGGGCAGAAAGAGTTGTCTACCTTTACCATTTGGGATGTCTCAACGGTACGTTTCCCCCTAGTAGGAAGACTTAACCTGGATCGACCCTTCACGATAGAAGAAATTAAATAAGCAGCAGAACAAATGGCACACGGCAAGTGCCCTGGTTCGGATGGGTTGCCGATGGAAGCCTACATTGTCCTGTGGGAGTCTCTAGGTCCAGTACTTGTTGAAATTTACAATGGGGTATTAACAGGTGGAACACTTTCTAAAGGCATGCAACAAGGAATCATCACCCTATTATACAAGAAAGGGAGCAAGTTAGACATTAGGAACTGGCGACCGATCTCATTACTTAATGTTTCGTACAAAATCCTAGCCAAAGCCTTGGCGCTACATCTTGCCCCTCATCTTCCAGTCGTGGTTGGTTCAGATCAAGGTGCCTTTGTAAAACACTGATCCATAATGGATAATATTGTGGCCACAATTCAAGCCCTGTAAATCATTGCCTGAAAAGAGAGGGATGTAGCTATTTTATTGATCGATATAGAAAAAGCCTACGGCAAAGTCGGTTGGGCTTTTGTAGGAACCACACTGAGACATATGGGATTCGAGCCAAACTTTTGTACATGGATATCAGTTATGTATTCTACCTCAACTGCAATGGTCTCAGTCAACAATCAACTGTCGGAAAAGTTTAACTTGTCTCGCTCCTTACGACAAGGGGGCATCTTTGACTCTCCTTCTCTTTGTGCTACACCTTGACATATTGTTGGATAACATTAGAAAAAATAATTCAATCACAGGGTTGGAACTGCACAATGAATACCAGTGGAAATGGGGTGCACTGACAGATGACCTAACGATAGCGTGCCTCAATGAAAGACGAACCCTGTGTGTGGTACGGAAAGTGTTAGATGAGTATGCTAGTTTATCTGAGGCCTCTATAAATTTGAATAAGTCTGTATACCTTTTGCCTGCTCAATTCCAAATCCAAGTGGACTGGGGCATGAGACGAGTACAAATTGAACCCTCAGACCAATATCTGGGAATTCTGATATCTCTATCCGACAATTCGGCACTCCAAGATCAGTTGCTGGAAGAAAAGGTATGTCAACGAATTCTTAAATGGGACTGCACAAGACACGTATCTCTGTTGGGTCGGGCTACAGTTATTTCGGCTTCAACCTTTTCCTTACTATGGTACCCACTGCAACTACACTTACTTGGTTCACAGGCGTACAAATAGATTAAAAAGGTTGCTGCAAGATTCCTATGGAAACCAGAGGCGGAAGAGGTAGATGGTTTCCTTTCTAAAGTAGCATGGGACTGTATCACATTCCCTAGGGAACAAGGTGGGTTTGGTATTCCGGATCCCAAGCGTCAGAATGTTGCTCTACTAGCCAAATGGCTATTAAAGCAATTTTGGCAGAAAACAAACATGCCTGGATCTGGCTGGCATAGTATATCCTATCTGAGGAGTGGAATATGAGAAATCCATCTGATGTATGGAGTTGTTTATATATGCAGTCCTATTGTGGAAAACGGTCAAAATCGTGCTTTTGGAGAGGAATCTTGTATACGTGGTCTAAGGTCCTACCTACCTATCGTGTTCAGCCGTCCTCGTGGGAGGAAGTCCTGATGCAGCCAATCTTTGAGAACCCTCTAGTATGTAGTCCTGATGGAACTCCCTTTTCAGCCAATGATAGTCCTGGAAATTTTGGTAAAGCTTGGATAGAACGAGGTGTGGTCAGAATAGGGGATTTGAGGGACAGGGAACTATGGGACTGGCATACTGAGTTGTCGGTGAGAACTCAATTACGATACTTGAGATTAGTGGAGGAACATTTAGCTGATATTCAGAACGCGGTACCAATAGCCTGAACTAATATTTTGAGGTCCCATCGAAACAGCAACATTTAGATCAAGTCTTGTAACAATAGTGACACTCCCGCTTATTGGAAAGTGATTGAGGAGACGAAGGACGATGGATGTAAGGTAGATGAATGGACAGCCTTAGTTCAAACCCCTTATACGAGAATGCTCTGCTTCAAGGGGGCAAAGTGGGTGAGCTCGACAAAAGGATTGGCCAAGTTATTGTGGAAGAAACAAGTTTGCGTAAGGAAGGGAGTAGAGGTCCGCCACTGGCTAACGTGGAAGAGACAGCAGGAGTACCGAACTCACAAGCCAAACTTTTGGCTGGGGGTAGGACTGCGGCGAAAATATCGTTTCATTCTGGACTCATAGGCTGGTTGGAAGTTGGAACTCAGTAAATGATTAGTTTAAAGAACTACTCGTCCAGAAGAGGGGTCGCACTGCAGCAGCAGAAAATCAAGCATAAACCAATGGACATCATGATACGAAGACGGGAAGAGCAACAATTGGGTACAATAGTGGAGAAAGACCTACGCGCCCACTGGCATCAGCTTAAGAGTTTGCCGTCTCAGAAACAAGCTAGTATTTTGCTGTCGCAATCTCTGTTGGTTACAGCCTCAGCGGTGTGGCTGAGTGCCAAAGGCATGGATATCAGTACTACATGTGCACGGTGAAACTGGGCGTGGGAGTCTACAAATCACCTCTGGTTCTCGTGTCCACTTTCGCGCAAAGTTTGAAAATGGTGGAAGCAACATTGGAAAGAAATCACTAAGGACATTTTCCCATGGGATGAAAAGTGGATCCTATCGGGTCTGCTCCCACCTCATATCAGCCCTAACATGGGTTGGGGTTATGTGGCGCAGATTATCAGGGGGATCGTTTTTGAAGCACTTTGGAGGGATCAAAACGACCAGGTTTTTCGGGACTGCCATGTTTCACAGGACATCATTGAAAAAGTGAAGAGAGATACAAGACACACAATTGTTGCAGACTGGAGCAGGAAGACGAAGTACAGGCAAGGATTTAAAGCAATGTGCTGGTTCTCCAAGACCTGGGGTATAGGGGCACGAATGGTCGCTTTTAGACCTTCTAGTGCTCGTGAATTCCCGTTTTGGCTTATGAAGGAACAAAGTCGAGTCTTAGGCTTTGGTTAACTCTGGGTGCTATTGAGGTAGTGGTTGTAATATTGTTCTTTCTTTTTTCGGTTCCCTTGGTGGCACCGCACCGGCTGATGCTGTCGGGATAAGGGCGTCGTTAGACACTCCTCGGGGACGAGATTCCAAGAATTCCGTCGTCGTTCTACCTGTCCTCGGAGGTGAAATCGAAAATGAAAATGTGAAAACACTTCGAGGACAGATCCTCGGGCTCCAAGGATTTCCCAGCCAAATCGCCCTCGAACTCGAAGGACCTCGCGAGGTCCTTCGGAGCCCGAGGATCCGCAATTAACGTGGTGTCGGCGGCTACTCCAGAACGGAAATTGGAGGCCGAAGGTGGTCCAGTGGTGGTCCAGCGGCCAAAAGACGGACATCCCCGGCCATCATAGTCGAAAACCTCCAGCAACGGCCTCCTCGTTTTACCGTTGGCGCTGAATCGGGGGACGGCCCTGTAGGTCTTTCGGGCGGCCCCATGGAAGGGCCATGGCGATCGTCGGACATCTTCGGCCGGCACCGGAGGCTTTGTGGCGTTCTCGCGGGCTTCCAGACGGTCGAAATTACAGATTTTGTAAGCGTCCTCCCCCTGTCGCTGCTTGCATGAATTTCGTTCGTCGACGTCTTCCCTCTCGCACAGTGTGTCTTTGCTCGCCGCAATTGCGACAACGGCTCTTTGTCGGTTGACTTGACGTTGATGGCAGACCTGTACCGCAGGCTGCCTTTGCTGCTGCTCATCGCTCTGCTGCTGCTCATCGTTGTCGTCTTCCACATATTTTTTCTCGGTCGCGTTCCTGGAAGGAAACAGACGCTTCGAACGGCGAAGAGGGCGACAAAGATGGATAAGCTTCAAACGAAGACGATGCTGTCGGTGGGAGGCGGGGGGTCCTCGCGTCAGCGTTGCAACAGTGCGGAAGGCGGCACGCGGCCGTACGGCCCGATGCTGTACAGCCACCTGCCGTCCCACGAGATTCCATTGCCTCCGAGTGACGACGACGTCGACGACCCTAGATCCTCAACGGTTCTTCTGGGCAGCGGTTCGACGCAGGATTGGATGGGGAGCCAGGTGTACAGACATGCATCGACGCCGACGTACACTGATTTGCTGGAGGGCCGGACGCCCGCTGGTTACGACGCTGGACTCGTCGATCTGAGCTTCGGTCTAAGGTCTGAAAATGGCGAGGGCTTGACGCACACTGTTCTTGTTAACCCGGCTTCTGCCTCGAAACACACATCGCCTTCCGTGACGGCGGTTGGCCCTGCGGATAGTCGTGGATTCGTTTCGCCGAGGCGGGTGGCTTTGAGTACAGCAAGTGTGGCAGCGTCGAAGACGAAGACAGTCGGATTGGCAGGCTGCCGAACGACGACGGCAGGTGGTGCAATCGACGGAGAAGGGTACGACGACGAGCGCGACGCCACGAAGGTCGTCGGTCATCAATTTTGGGATGATGAATGGCAACGATTGCGTTCCACGAACACGGCTAGCATAACGAGAGGGTTGGCGAGAATTAGTGTGGGGGCCGGAGAAGAATTTCAAGACTGCGCTGGTGGAGGGGGCGAGGAGATCGCTGCAGACGACGGCGGTGATGACAACGACGAAGACGACGACGGCGAGATGGAGATTCGTCCAGTAGGGAGGAAGCGCGGAGGGTCGACGGCGAGAACCAAGGTTAGAGAATCGCGCATGCGGCGAAGAATCGTCGGCAGGCGACGAAACAAAAAGCAGGGATTTTTTGGACAGTGGAGCATATGATCCCTCGTATCAGAGCCAAAAGAGACCAGGATTTGCATCTGGCCGGCCTGGGCACAACTACGGACGGATGAAGACGAAGACATGGAAGTGGGAGGATGTGGAGAAGAGGCTGGTGCAGATGGGGGTGACGAGTAGGAAGGTCGTCGACTGCGGCAAGAAATGGGACAACCTGTACCAGCAGTTCAAATCCGTGCACAAGTTCATGGGAAAGTCCGGCAAGCCTAACTTCTTCACACTTAGGCCAGGGGAGAGGAGGGAGCGGGGGTTCGACTTTAGGATGGATGAGCGCGTGTATTCGGAGATGAAGGCGATGTTCGGGGGCGGTCACACTATACACCCCACGAATCTCGCGGACACGGGTGCGCCGAGAGGTGTTCAATTGTCTGGCATGGTTGGTGGACGAAACGATTCCGGCGGTGGCGGTGGCGGGGCCGGCAAACGAAAGAATGTCAGACAGCAGACCTTCGAGGCAGTGGCGGACGTCATGAAGGAGCACGGGGCGCTGATGTCGACGACGGTGGACAATGCGAGCAAGAGGCAGTGCTCGATTCTGATGAGGCAATGCGACATTCTGGAGAGAGAGATACAAGTGCAGAAGGATCAGTACGAGAAGGCTGACGAGGCGAACTTCTTGATGTGCAACGCCCTCATGGAGATTGCTAAAGCAATCTGCGAATGAGCTTGACGTGGGCCGACCAGGCATGTCGAACGTCCGGAGGCATGGCCTGTATGCGCTTCCGGCACGTTGCCTTTTCCGTCGTCCTCCGTGCTGCAGCACGGTGATGTGTAGGTTGTGTAAAGTCAATGAGTCGTCGTTGCTCACGCGTAGTAATAATCGCGGGTCTTAGAATTGAATGTGAAGGGCGTTGTTTGCTTTCATGCCCCACACCGCGTCCTGAGGTTGTACAGCAGGTCCTCCTTTTTTTTAGATAGTGTTTAAAAAACGCTGTTGTGAGTTGTTGTCTGCAGGCATGGATGGCGATCTTCCAGGGTCTTCTTTGGGGGTGTCCACGTATGTGTAGCCGGCAGGGTTGATTTTTTGGGACGCGAGGGGAAAATGACGGATTGGAGTGCCTGGTCTTTTTGGGGGCGGATGAGGACGGAGGGGGGGGGGAGAGGGGGGGAATGGAGGGGTCTTTGTACCTCCTGCGGGGAATGACCTCCACGTCGTGAGAAAATTCGTCCATTGTGAATCGATGAAGGGGCGGGCTGTAGTGGACGGCCTGGCCTGTCCATGGTGTGCTGCGAGACCGCGCACCGTAGAAAAGGGCATTCAGGGAGGCATTCCATACCGCTGGCATTCTATCGCGACGGCTATGAAGGCACCATTTGTGCATGGTATCGTCGTCGCAGGCGTAGTCATCCCTTTGTCATGCTACGATCGCCCGGTTTGGGCTCCGCGGGTATCCACGTCAGCCAAGCATCGTGCCATCGGACTGGTCCTTCTTCCACAGCAGTGAAGTGCCGCATCGTCAACGTCGTCCGACGGCAAGGTGCCCGTCATCGACCTTCTGCCGCTCCTTCATCGTCGTCGTCCACGTGGTCCTTCGTCCACGTCAGCCAAGCGCCGCAGCTTTCTGCATTCAGCACGCACTTCTTTGTGGACGACATGGCACCGCGCGGCGCTTCAGGGAAGGCGAAAATAAACAGCGGATCGGGCGACGGTGGGGAGACCCAAAAAGGCAGAGGGCACATACCGAGGTCGAAAAGGCCGCGCTTCGATGACGACAACTCCGAACATAGTGGGGATTTGCACGGCGAGGAAGAGTCGATGGTGGATGCACAACGAGCGGACGTCATGAAGCGATTGGGGTTTGGGCGGGATGGGGTGTCGAGGGAGCAGCTGGCCGGTGTTTCGTTTCTCAATGTACATGAATTGAAATGTTTCGTTTCTCAATGTACATGAATCCTCATTGCCGCATTCATGCAGGACGAGAGAAACGAACCTGGCCACTGTTGCAACGCATTTGCTAAAGAACAAAATTGAAATGTTTTGTTTCTCAATGTACATGAATCCTCATTGCCGCATTCATGCGTCAACGATGACCCTGAGCAACTGCATAAAATTACACACAGTGTGTGAATGACAAACATTTTGAATGAGGTTGAGAAAGAAGTCCGTCGTCGAACAAAAGAAAGAAGCGGAATGCACAAAGAAGTCATCACATAGCAATCAAAACAAGCGCAGGAGTCAACAACATCGTTCAATTTGAAATAAAGCAGCGCTGTAAACCACATACTCATAAGCTCGCCGAGGAGCTGTCAACCACCCCACCCACACCCCCACCATCACAGACATCGTTCAATTCCAAACAAAGTGCACAACCGAACCACTGCCGACATGACGTCGAATGACCGCAGAGCCACGTCACTGGGAACCATAGACGAATTGGACAACCGCACTACTGTCGACCATAAGAACGAACTCCGAAGAAGACCGTCCGCGACCGAAAACCATCTGTTTTATCGCGCGCAAAAGTGAAAGAGGGCGAACCATCCTAACTAATCGAAGACGGTAGAACACGACTCGAAGCAAGTGTTCCGCGCGTGAAAGACGCAGGCAGTGCACATGATCACAGGTGTTTCATTCACTCCGCCAGCGCGTCGCGGAGCATGAGGGCGGGACCGGTGGGCGTCAACATCGACACTGGTTGCAGGGGACGATGAATCCCCAGGTCCACCCGGCGCCTCACCCCGTTCTCGTCGACCTCCCACAACAAATTCTCGTCGAACTCGACACCGGCATCGAGGAGGACATTGTGGAGAATGCAGACTGTCGTGAATTGCTGCGGTAGTGTTTCCAGGTTTGTCTTGTGTGTCTGCAGGAAGAGCCTCCACATCCCCTTCAACCTCCCGAACGCCCTCTCCACAGTCCCTCTTGCGACCTTCTGCTTTGTGTCGAACCTTTCCTCGTTCGGATGCTGATTGATTCCTTCGTACGACACAATTTCCCATTCAGAGGGAGGATACCCGTTGTCTCCCAAGATGTAACCGTTCGTCCTCACCCCCCCCCCCAGCGTCACAGGCGGCCCACAAAAAAGCACTCCCTGTTCCGCGCGCCTCGACAGACTCGACAGTTGGATCACCCTGATGTCGTGGCAGCTCCCGGATATCCGACAAACACGTCTAGCACGCGCAGATCCAGGTCCACCACCACCTGCGCAATGACGGAGAAACGGTGCTTGCGGTTGAAGTAGTTCTCGCCGGGCTCGTTCGTCGGTTTGTCCACATAGATGTGTGTGCAGTCAACTGCGCCATGGCAGTTTGGAAAACCCTTGTCCAGAAATGCCCGCAGCACGACTTGTTTTTGCACCCCCGTCGGTCATGATATCCTGTCCCCATACACCCTCAACAAAGCGTTTGTCACATCGCGCACGGCCAGAATTCCGGAAGCCCTGCCTATGCCGAAAGATGAGGTGCTGTTGTCGTATGACTCTCCTGTAGCCCAGCTATACAGCGCATAGGCGACGATCTGCTCCGGCGGAAGTGGCTCCCTGTAGAACGTCACCTGTCGTCGCAAGAGAAGTGCACAGGCTTCGCTGATCTCAATGAAGACTCTCCTTGACATGCATAGCTTCTCCCGGAAGTAGTCGTCCGTCGCGTCATTGCAGAGCCGCAAATCCTCCCAAGTCCCGTCGGTTCTCCGGCTCATCCACCAACGTGGCGTCATCCGAGGAACCACACCGCACCCTATTGCAAAACATAGCTGAAGCACTGCCTCAGAAGTGGTAACGCAGTCAGGGGCGTCCAACACCCTCTGCAGCAGAATCCTCTGCCACCGCCTGAAAAGCGTCACTTTCATGCGTCCAGCCGCCCTCTCAACCTGGAATCGACAGACAACTGCGACAGCAGCCACCGCGACAGCTGTCTTCTCCGCATAGGACAGCACAGCGCGACCATCGCGATCGCAGCCCTCCATTCCGCCCTTGGAACAGGAAAAGAAACCTTCCTCACCACCCACCTGCGCGCACCTCTCCCACCGCAATTGAAGGCGCTTGCAATCAGGTGAGCAATGCAGCCGTGCTCAACGATGTTCCACACCAATTGGAGCGTCCGCCCACTGCCGCTGAAGTACGGAACGGCCGCGCCCCTCTGCGTCACGAGCGCAACTACGGGCAGCATACGAAGCGCGGCGCGGCGTCGAACACCCTGGAGACGTGGCGGTGCGGCGGCACTTAAGTGCGCAATGCCATGACAGCCAAAACCCTTCGCGACGTGCACTGCCCCCCCTCCTTGCCGACCCGCGTGTGCGCCGCCACACCGTCGCTCTGATTGGCGCAAATTCGAATTTCGAAATTCGAACGGGGCCGTTCCCGCGTTGGCAATTTTTTTTTTTCGCGCCCCGTGACGCACTACCGCCGTCCGCCTGCTGGACCCCCAGGCCTCCAACACGGACATCCCGAATCGAAAATCGGACAACACCCTCGGATTCGTGGGAGGGCCCCGAGGATTCGTCCTCGGGGCGATTCTCTGAGGACGCTACCGCGTTGGTGTGTAATGTCATGAAACTGGCCGTGGGAGGGCCCCGAGGATTCGTCCTCGGGGCGATTCTCTGAGGACAGGTGGAACGACACCTCAAAAACACGCAAAAAGTTTCGAGGATTCATCCTCGGAGTTCGAGGACGGCTCGAGGAGTGTCTAACGACGCCCTAACTCCGGGTTGAATTATGAGATCCCCGGCACCAAGTCCCACTTGCAGCGGTTTAGTTCCCGTAGCCAGTACTGCACGACACTGTGTGACTTCGTGTGGCAATGTGCGGCTGGTTGACAAACGGCGGGTTAAATCGCAAAAAATAACAGGATTTGAAGGTGCTGAATGACAGTAATGATGAAAGGCCAGTCAGTCTGGTAACCAAGGGTATGGCAGCGGCATTGTGGGGAAAAACTTTTAGGGGCTCGCCACACAGGCTGTCGAAAACCGAGTTCTCGACAGATTTGCATCGCCACACAGATTTTCGACGAATTGCGGTTCAAAAAAATTTCAACAAGTGTCAGAATGACACTTTCGACAGCCGCCCTCCAGCACTCGTTTCCTCCAGCCTGCGGGTGACCGAAATTTGACAGTGGCCCGTCGGGCTGTCGAAAATTGCGTTCTATTTTGCATTGTCAGGGACTGTTCGGTGACACCCGTGCCCTCTCGTAATGTGGAGTCCGCCTGTCCATGACCAAAAACCTTGCCCCTCGACAGCCTGTGTGGCGAAGAGGGGGAAAACTGTCGACCGCCCGACTGTCGAAAATTTTCTGACACCTGTCGAAAATTTTCGACATTCGACAGCCTGTGTGGCGAGCCTCTTAGTTTCTGTGGAAATACAAGACGATGGACGGTCCCCACGTCTAGCCCGACTGGGGTCAGGCTACGGACGAGGACCGTTCCCTGCGAGTGAAAGAGCTCATTCCGACTATAACAGGCAATGGGAAACCGCGACATAGCAACATTCAATCCATTCCGTTCGAAGAAAAACATAACCGACCATGCGCCCTACGATCAATGTCAATCATCGGTAAGGAAACGTGTGGCACAAAACACAGGGTCCCGAACTTAGGACTAAACCGCTGCAAGTGGGACTTGGTCCCCGGCCTCGTATTCAGTGGACTATTAATGAAGAATTGATTAAAAAAAAAAAAAAGAAAGAGTTGTCGGATAACAGAGAATAAAAGCAAGGTAGGAGGCTGCCAGAGACACTGGTTCGTGTGATAATTCAAGATTGTTTATTTTTGTTTTTGAAAAAAAAAAAAAAAATCCCTTGCCGCGTGGCTTTC